TCCAGATCGAGGGGGGGGGGAGGCACATTTAGTTAATGTGCAAAATACAACACTATTTATATAGAAGCAATGGTGAAGATGGGGAAAAGACTGCATACAATATGAATGATTTCAGTGAGGCTATAACACTCCCATTCCTTTCATGATACTCTTGCAGGAAAGCTAGTGGGTTAGACCCAATCTTCCAAAACTCTTGAGTCAGGATCCCAAATAGTGTCCCATAAGTGAATTACCATCCCATGCAGAGTAGAAATGGCTTCTGCTGTCCAAGGAAGAGAACAAGCCAAATCCAAGTTCCTGACAGTAAGGAAAGGCAGGCTGAGGGAGCTGGCCACATGCAGGATGGAGAAAGAAACCAGCACAGATAGGACAATGGAGCAGGAGGACAAGGGTGGTATGAGTGAAGGATAGATGGGGAGATATGTAAGGTCAGAGGAGAAGGAAACCCCTGTCAGCCCTAACTGCACCCTCTTACTTGAAAAAAATCTGATTTTGTTACCTATTTTAAAAATGGCACCTTAAGCATCCTGTATAGCTTGGCTTGGAATAGAGTGGGCCCTCTGTATTGACAGATTCAACCACCCAGGGCTTGAAAATATTAAGCAAACCATTTTATATGTTGTTGTTCATTCGTTCAGTCGCTTCTGACTCTTCGTGACCTCATGGACCAGCCCACGCCAGAGCTCCCTGTCGGCCGTCACCACCCCAGCTCCTTCAAGGTCAAGCCAATCACTTCATTTTATATAAGGGTCACCATTTCACTACACCCTTGTCTGTCATGGGATTTAAGCTTCCATGGAGGGTCCTGGAAACAAACCCCAGTGGATACTGAAGTCCTATTGTATTTCACACAAGAGGTTTGGTTTTTTATGTACTTGGAACATCGGTGGTGGCCAGGAGGGCCTTTGCACAATTAAGACTCGTGCGCCAACTGCGACCGTACCTCAGGAAGGCGGATCTGGCCAAGGTGGTCCATGCCTTAGTTACCTCCGGATTACTGCAATGCACTCTACGTGGGGCTGCCCTTGAAAACAGCCCGGAAATTTCAGATGATCCAATGGGCGGCAGCCAGGCTGTTAACTGGGGCTCCTTACAGAGAGAGGTCACCCCTCCTGTTCAAGGAGCTCCACTGGCTGCCATTCATTTACCGGACCCAATTCAAGGTGCAAGTTCTTACCTACAAGGCCATGAACGGTTTGGGACCTTCCTAACTGCGTGATCGCATCTCTGTATATGAACCCACACGATCCCTTCCATCATCCGGGGAGGCCCTGCTCTCGATCCCACCAGCATCGCAGGTGTGATTGGTGGGGACGAGAGAGAGGGCCTTTTTGGTGGTGGCCCCTCGACTCTGGAACTCACTCCCTAAAAACATCAGACAGGCTCCAACTTTGGCAGTCTTCAGGAGGAACTTGAAGACATGGCTGTTCCAGTGTGCCTTCCCGGAATAATGACCCATAGCACTTTGTCCTCCAAAGCACTTTACATTTCTTTAAGTCTGCTCGTATGCCCTTCCACAAACACCAGTATCACCTTCCGTTCATGTCCCAGCATTATTTCCAATTTTAACTCTACATTTGGCCTTCCCACTGTTTTTAATTATGTGTTGTTTTATTGATAATGTTGTTTATCTTATTGTCTATGTGTTTTATTGCTTGTATTGTTGTTATTATGGCTTGTACTGTTGTGTTTGGGCTCGGCCTCATGTAAGCCGCACCGAGTCCCTTGGGGAGATGGTAGCAGGGTACAAATAAAGTGTTGTTGTTATTATTATTATTATTATTATTATTATTATTATTATTTTAAAAGTTTGCTTTGCATACCTTTTCTATATATCTATATACCTAAGGTCACATAAACATGTCTGGGAGGTGGGGGATGCCATGAAAAAGTTTAAGAAGCACTGGGTAGATAAAATTGCATCTGGGTGGATCTATTGATAGGTACAACCCAGGGAGTACACACCAATTGTCACTCATTTTTTCCCCATTTTAGAAAAAAGATTTTTACAGCAATGTTTTTTTTAAAAGAACAAACAAATATAGACACTAAAATTAAAGAACAAAAACAATCCAATAAAGATAACTCCATAATACTCACACCTTCTTACTCACCCCCCCCCCCCCCCTTTCCGGTCAAATCCCTGGAATCCTAAATTCTGGCCTCATTGTTCATCTTTAGGGTTGCCCTTAAATTCTTTCTTCTTTGTAATGATTAGGGGAAAATACTATCTTTCACAGATAAACACTGGAGCTAGAATTTGCAAGGGATACAAGTACTGAGTCATCTAGATCAGTATTCCTATCAGAGCAGGTAGGGTTGATCTGCTTTCCCTGCTCTCAATTGGGGAATAGACGTTGGAAGCTGCCTGCCCAAAACATGCCTATTAGTCATTTAATCTTGGATTGGATTGAGCCTAAACTGTAATCTCTTTATCCTTCTAAGAGATTAATCAAAAGCGGCAAATCTGTGGCAACCATACAACGTCTCTTCAGATAACACATCAAGGTACACAACATGGAGCGATACCCAATCACAACACTACTGCAATGGGTTTTTGCATTCCAGTCAATCTCCCCACCACCACCACCAACACCAGTTTTCAAAGTTGACTACATTTGTCCAATTTACACCAAACGCAGCGCCCAAACACAAATCAAGGAACATGAAAGGCACTGCAGACTACTTCAACCAGAGAAATCAGCAATAGCAGAGCACCTGATGAACCAACCTGGACACAGCATATTATTTGAGAACACAGAAATGCTGGACCACGCTCACAACCACCATGTCAGACTACACAGAGAAGCCATTGAAATCCACAAGCATGTGGACAATTTCAACAGAAAGGAGGAAACCATGAAAATGAACAAAATCTGGCTACCAGTATTAAAAAAAACTCGAAAATTACAACAGCACAACAACAGAGAGGAAACAAACAAGGACATCTAATCACCTCTCAACAAAAGTTTGCTCCAGGCACTGTCAGGCCATTATATGCTAATCAAGGTGATCAGTTGAAACATTCACACCTAGCTCCAGCAGACAAGAGTCCTTTGTCACCTTGGTCATTCCACAGATATATAAACCCTTTTTCCTAGTTCCAAAAAACACCTCACTACCTCTGAGGATGCTTGCCATAGATGCAGGCGAAACGTCAGGAGAGAATGCCTCTAGACCATGGCCATATAGCCCAAAAAAACCTACAGCAACCCAACAATTTAGCTGCTGTTATCAAATTAGAAACCAATTCTTTCTCCTCTTGTATTTCGGGTATTGCATTATATAAATGCAGTGTATTTATTTACATTCTCTTTTATCATATTTTATACATTAGTTGGTATTTATAAAATGCATTTTCTTATTTAAAAACATGTAACAAAAATGGAGCAGGGAGGTTGGGAGGCGGGAACAGATTAATGGCATTTCAATGAGACAATTTTATTTGAGATTAGAATGTTTTGACTTAAGAGCTCAGTCACTGAATGAATTAAACACTCAAGTCAAGGTATCACATACATACATACAAGCAAGCATACAAACAAACACTGACTTGTATTATATATGTGTGCCTGAAGAACAGAAGGCTGATAGGATACATGAGAGCCATGTATAAATATGTGAGAGGAAGTCATAGCGAGGAGCAGATCCGTAGCCAGGATTTCGTTTCGGGGCGGGGGGGGGGGGGAGTTTGGTTCGGGGGGGCTGAGTCTGAGTGAAAGAGGGTCTACCCTAGCAAACCTTTTGTATCGTTACCCCAATACCCCCATGCATATGGGATATATTGAGTATGGTGATCAGATCATGATATGAATAAACATAACAGTTTAAATAATGCACCAGTAAGGCCTTTTCGCGAACCACCATGAGAATTTCGGGGGGGGGGGGCTGAAGCCCCGAAGCCCCCCCCCCCGGCTACATGCCTGGGAGCAAGCTTGTTTTCTGCTGCCCTGGAGACTAGGATGTGGAGCAATGGCTTCAAACTACAGGAAAGGAGATTCCACCTGAAGATTAGGAAGAACTTCCTGACTGTGAGAGCTGTTCAGCAGTGGAACTCTCTGCCTCGGAGTGTGGTGGAGGCTCTTTCTTTGGAGACTTTTAAACAGAGGCTGGATAGCAATCTGTCGGGGGTGCTTTGAATGCGATTTTCCTGCTTCTTGGCAGGGAATTAGACTGGATGGCCCACGAGATCCCTTCCAACTCTATGATTCGATGTGTGTATACAGGGGCAGCTCAACACATTACGCAACCCATTACAACAACCCATTTGCAGTATAGTTGATTTTGCCCAGGGGCGCTCTTGAGGCGCTCTTGGGTGAAAATAGACCTTGACATATGCGAGTTGTAGTTACTGGGATGTATAGTTCACCTACAATCAAAGAGCATTCTGAACTCCACCAATGATGGAATTGAACCAAATATGGCACACAGAACTCCCACGACGAACAGAAAATATATATCAGTGATTGGTTGGGGGGGGGGGGAAGGTGTGTGTGACACAAATACTGTTTGCTTACCGTTGCAAATTACCTAGGGCCGCCTCTGTGTGTGTATGTAGGGATATCAATATATATAGGTAGAGATAGAGATAAAGACAGAGACAGAGATAGAGATGTATTCTAGCTTCACATAGCTTCCAAACAGGTGAGATTAGATCTTTAAATGAAACAAAGGACTCTCTGAAGAGAAAGAAAAGCCAAGCATGTAGAGCTGTCATACATCACTTTCCATGTCTTCCTTTTTCCTCCTAGGTGCTGGCAAGAATTGGACGAGTCACTGTCATCTGCTCTTTCCCATGAATGTGCACTATGAGTAACGCTGTTTTTCTCATGCTACCTTAATTTGTTTTTCAGATTATTGTATATATTTTCCCTTTATGATAAATAGATTATTTTTATACCTATCCAATAAAAGTGAATCTGAGATGCAAGTGTGGGGGAGGAGTTTAAATGGGTTACAGAAGGTTAATGATTGCTCTGTTTCATAACGTTACAGAAAGATTATCAGAGTAATGTAGTAAATTCTTCCTCCTGGTTGAATAGTTCTTGCTGGTCAAAAGTTGAATTTCTTGTGGCTCAAAGTTTTCTGTGTAGTTCCATACAGTTTATCCTTCAATCTTGAAAGCAGCAGAGAAAAAGTAAGTAATTTTTATTACTAAACGGGATTTCAGTATTACTAGTTAACCTTTGTTCTAAGTTATCTTAAAAACATCAACTCGGCATTTTAGAGCAACTGACTAATTAAAAGTTGTTTAGAATGTTACCTTATTGTATATAAGTATATATTCACATCTTGTTACTTTCTTTAAAATAATATACCTTCACAATGATCACCATTAATATGCCTTTTAAAATTAAACTGCCAGAATACTCTTAAGTAATGTGGTATATGCTCGTGAAAAACAAATGCCTTATACCAAAAAGCTGCATTTGTGTAGGTGTGAGATATTATTTGTAAGCAGAAAAAGGGGATGTTAAGATTATTTTAGGTTCTTGTGGGTTTTTTCGGGCTATAGGGCCATGTTCTAGAGGCATTTCTCCTGACGTTTCACCTGCATCTATGGCAAGCATCCTCAGAGGTAGTGAGGTCTGTTGGAATTAGGACAATGGGTTTATATATCTGTGGAATGGTTTTTTTGTTTTTTTTTAGTGTCAGTAGTGACTTGAGAAACTGCAAGTCGTTTCTGGTGTGAGAAAATTGGCCGTCTGCAAGGACGTTGCCCAGGGGACGCCTGGATGTTTTTTTGAAGTTTTACCATCCTTGTGGGAGGCTTCTCTCATGTCCCCGCATGAGGAGCTGGTATCTGTAGGTATTCCTAAACTATCAGTAATTGTTTTGAAGACTGATAGGAAACAAGACTGATCATTAAAAAAACTTCAAGTTTGTCCACAATGATGAATCGTTTCCGATATGAACTCTGGCACACCAAGCTTCGATTAGTACCATTACAGTGTTTTTACAAAGAGATCATTTTCATGTAGAAAGATATTTACTTCATAAAATATGCAGTTTCTGGCATGAATGTTTTTGGTTTGATATACTGAGTATATAAGATGAGTGGATAGCTTCACGCTACAATCTGGTGATACATAATAACATTGTTTGCCCAACAATGGATTTCTTTTTCCTCAAACAGCAGTTGGCCTTGTGGTGTAGCCAATTTATTTTAATCTGATGAGACCCTTATAAGCTGTTTATAGGATGGCTTGAGGGTATGCTATTCAAAGAGAAGTCTAAACTGGGTTGTTGTAGGTTTTTTCGGGCTATATGGCCATGCTTTAGAGGCATTTTCTCCTGACGTTTCGCCTGCATCAATGGCAAGCATCCTCAGAGGTAGTGAGGTCTGTTGGAACTAGGAAAGTGGGTTTATATTTCTGTGGAATGACCAGTGTGGGACAAAGAACTCTTGTCTGTTGGAGCTAGATGTGAATGTTTCAAATGCCCACCTTGATTAGCATTTGATGGCCTGGCAGTGCCTGGGGCAATCTTTTGTTGAGAGGTGATTAGATGTGCCTGATTGTTTCCCTCTGTTGTTTTGCTGTTGTAATTTTAGAGTTTTTTAATACTGGTAGCCAGATTTTGTTCATTTTCATGGTCTCTTCCTTTCTGTTGAAATTGTCTACATGCTTGTGGATTTCAATGGCTTCTCTGATTATTTTGTAGAACTGGTGATCTTTTTGTTCAAGCTGTTTAGCTGTGGACAGGCCCGTAGCCAGGATTTTGATTCAAGGGGGGGGGGTGAGTTTGATTGGGGGGGCTGAGTCTGAGTGAAAGAGGGTGTACCCTAGCAAACCTTTTGTATCGTTACCCCAATACCCCCATGCATATGGGATATATTGAGCATGGTGATCAGATCATGATATGAATAAACATAACAGTTTAAATAATGTACCAGTAAGGCCTTTTCGCAGACCACCATGAGAATTTCGGCTACACGCCTGGCTGTGGAATATGCCACCTCATGTCTTGTTACTGTGCTTTCCACCTTTGGCTCATACAGCCAAAGGTCATGGTTAATACTATCCTCCAATAAGTGGACCTAGTTATGTGGGAACTAGAATTGGACAACTTTGCAGTGTCTGCATCCAGTAGAGGGGTGCTATTATGTTCCTATATTGCAGAACCGGCAAAGCAGTGGGACTGATGTACAGTGAGACTAAGCTCACTTATCAGTTGCAAATCACTAAAAGAGTTTCTTAGCTGCTGTTTTATTTAACCAAGGGCTTTTCTATAATAATAATAATTCTTATTATTTATACCCTACCACCATCTCCCCAAGGGGACTCAGGGCAGCTTACACAAGGCCAAGCCCACAATACAATACATCAATATACAATAAAATAGCAATAAAATAAAACTAAAATACAAAATGGTACATTATACATCAACAATTGTTCTGGTACGGCCAGCTTATCTTGCTATTTGTTGAGTGCTGCATGTTTTTTTAAAGTTCTATGCATTTGCAGTTAGATGGCTTTCCTTACTTTGCAGTTATTGGGTCAATGACCTGTCAATTATCATTAGGTTCCCTAGTTCTGCCCCCTTTTTGGGTTTTGGAGGGAATAGGAGCAATTTTAGGTCAATCCACACAGAGAAGTCTTTCTTACAGGACTTAAACCAGGACCTACTGTGAAAGGCTTCATCATTTACAGCTTGGCCGGGGAGAAATAGCCCCATAGCTTGGCCAGGGATATACAGCCTCAGCACAGCTTTTGCTGGGTACTTTACAGTTTGCTGAGGAACTTACAGCCTCTCAGCTCTCTTGATAGGGATCCAGTCCCACAGCACTTCAGCCAGCCATCACTGGGAAGTGAACATCTTCCTCCTCCTGGAAGTTCTGCAAAGGTCTCTGTTCGGTAAGGGCCCTTTGCGGCAACCATAAAGCAGATTGGACCGGGTGTAGGGGCACGGCAACAGAAGAGAAGACAGATTGCCCAGGGTAGAGGTCGGGGATTTTCCCAACAGTGAAGGAACAGTTGCCTGCCCTTGGGGGCAAGATCGAGAAAGCCAACAGCTTATTAAGAAAACTTTGAATCCAATCATTGAAGCCTTGTTATTTGTTCAGTAATAATGATTTTGTTGCATCTTTAAAGACTTTGAAGCCTATCTTTTCAGGAAAATCCCAAAAAACCTCTCTGAGGCAACCCCGGCGTCCAGTTGGGCTCACAGAAATTAAGTCTTTTATAGGAGCCCAGCGTGTGACAGCACAACAATAAAAAATCGCAACATTTAAGACAGAGGGATAAATCTCTGTTCCACTCAAACTAAAAACCCTGGGTTCACCACAAATGGAAACTTGTCTATTTTCTGAACAGACAACTACTGCCCGATGGATTCCCTCGCTGTCCCCCATTTTACGAATCTTGACATGATGAGGTCCATAGAGTTCTGTGTTCAGCTAGAAGCAGCAGCAATACAAAGGCAGCAAGACGATGGCAAAAGGAGAAGCTGTGTTCCCCAGCCATTTAAACAATTACCCCAGATTCAGCATGAACAAGGCAGATACACGCTGCCTTGGGGCACATTTACACTGCACCTACAGCCTGGTGTTGATGAGCCCTAAGTGGACACAAAAACAATTAAAAATGATATAACATTCAGACACATATTTCCTACCCTACTAGGCAGTTATTGGATGCAGAGGAGCATGAGTGGAGTCTGCTGTGAGAGAATGGCCATTTGTTTTTGTTTCTTTAAAAAAATCTTTATTGAAGTTTTTGCATGCATATACGAGGGGTATTTTTTAAGTAAGGTCCGTTTGAACATAAGTACACAACGTACACAAAGTTTATTTCAAAAAAGTACATTTATTTTCAGAAAGTACATACTTCACTCTATTTTTTGACATAGTTGCCAAGTTTGTTCAAACACTTATCATACCTCTGAACCAATTTTAAAATACCCTCTTCATAAAAACATGCCGCCTGCTCCGATAACTAAGAGTTCACTCAAATCTTTGGTTTTTGTGGTCCTCTGTTAGGAGTTTCGGGAGCACAGTTTCCTAAACTTTAGGTGTTCATAAACAATGTTGTAAAGCACTGATCTCGACACGTCAGGAAATTCATTTGAGAGACCTGTTTTTGTGAAGCACCTGTTCTCATGAATTCTCGCTTCAACTGAAGCTACCAAATCACCTGTAATCAAAGAAGGGCGACCGGAGCGGTCTTCATCATAGACGTTGTCACGGCCATCTTTGAATTGTCGTACCCACTTATGCACTTTGCTTTCACTCATAACAGTATCACCGTAAACTTCACAAATCTGTCGATGAATTTCTGCAGCAGGCAGGTACCTTGCTGACAAAAACCGTATCACTGAGCGAACCTCACATGCGGAGGGTGAGTTGATAGTCTTAAACATTTTTAAAGCACAGAATAGAACCATACAGGTTAGCTACAGAGCGGTAACTAAGCACAGTTGTTCCCGAGGCATGCCGATACACGACACACGCACTCGTTGCAGTATGCGTGCGAACTACTAGTGTCTACAACAAAACGGACCTTACTTAAAAATATCCCTTGTATTTGCAGTCTTTACACATGTGTTTGTCTTAGTTTATGAAAGGGAAGCAATCGTCATAAAGCTTATGTCACATATAGTCCTAGGTTAATCCTGAGTACACACATAGGCCTTTGATTGATGTGTTACCAACAAAACATGAAGAGAGATATTCCTTATATGCATAAATACAACTCTGTCAGTATGGTATAATAATTATACCAAATACGTACCTCGGTGATTGTGGGTTATATGAGAGTAAATAAAATTTGTTTTAGAGCCTGTTTTGGTAATGAAAGGCTATTGATATGTTGAGGATGAAAGCAATTTAGCTGAATATAATTTCCCAGCTGTTTTGCCTTGGTGTTTGGAATAGTACTTGTGATGTTTGTGGATGAATGGATGGAGGCAGGAGGGGAGAATGACGTGCACAATGTTAAAATGCAAAGCACTCCCCTCCGATTGGTTCATGGGAAGTGGCTAATCTAATATAAATGGGTAACCTCTTCTTTACAAGGAAAGCAGATGATCGAGAGACAAAGGCAGCAAACTCTCACTTGCAGTAAGTACAAATCTTGACTTTTTAATCATAATGATTATAGAAATGTCATCTAGATGCAACAGTTTGCCTTAACCCAC